CCAGAAAGAGAAAGAAAATACCATGTGATATCACTCATATGTGGAATCTAAAAAAAAAAAAAAGACAATAAACTTATTTACAAAACAGAAACAGACTCACAGACATAGAAAACAAACTATGGTTACCAGGATGGGAAGGGGGTAGGAAGGGATATATTGGGAGTTCGAGATCTGCAGATACTTATAAAATTGATAAACAACAAGTTCATACTGTATGGCACAGGGAACTATATTCAATATCTTATAGTAACTTATGGTGAAAAAGAATATGAAAACTAATATATGCATGTTCACATATGACTGAAGCATTATGCTGTACACCAGAAACTGGCACAACATTGTAAAATGACTACACTTCAATAAAAAAAATTCGTATACAAAAAAAAAAAAAAAAAGAAAGAAAAGACTGGGTGGTGGTGAACATCCCTGTTCTCCAAGAGAGCTTCTCTGATACTATGACAGCAGGGAGGAGGAGGGGAACTTTGTTACAGCCAGAAAAGGGCGGAAGCCTTTGCTCACAAGGGTGAGGCTAAGGGGTGGGGCACAGTTTTACTCACAGTATTTGGCTGCAGGAAGGCAGTTATTGTCTAAAAGTTTTCTGTCTTGCTAATTTGCTCCTTCCCTAGTCCTTCAGCTAGACAAAGCAGGCTTTCTGTTGGAACTTTCGTTGTCTGTATCATTACTGTTTTAGGGGTGGTAGCTTCTCCAGCACCCAGTTCAGGATATCTGAGGCCAAAGGAAAACCCAGGGAAATTACCACTATGTCATTACCCAGGTCCAAAGGTCCCCAGGTGGTTTGCCTTCTTCTTTTTACCTCTCAATCTTCTTATGTTTGTTTTAGATATAATTTCTAGGATTTTAGCTGTACTTAGTGGGAGAAATTTTTTAAAAATGCATCTCTTCCATACCATCTGAAATTGTATCTTCCTGGCTATCTAAAATAGTTCATAATAACTTTTTAAAAGATTAGATGATGGTGGTGAAAGTTAAACTATTCTTTAAGATTCTTGGGACACAGCAACCCACTCTTCGTGTCGCCGCTCCTCCAGAGGGGACAGCCTCCCTTCTCTGGCTCAGCCTTGTTCTCTTCCATGTTCTACTCTGCTATCCTTTCCCACCAACCCCAAGAAAAGAACTTTAACCAGTTCCCAGTAAGAATAGGGCTAGGTGGAAAATAGGAGCCATTAACAAATCACATTACACCCAAATTTGAGTTATTGGGGTGGTGGGTAGTGGTAAAGTGCATGCCTAGCATGCACGAGGTCCTGGGTTCAATTCCCAGTACCTCTATTAAAAATAAATAAATAAACCTAACCACCTCCCCTCCAAAGACAAAACAAAACAAATTTGAGTTATGGGGAAGGGGGTTCCCAAAAGAGGGGGTTGATATTTTTCAAAGGGAAAGCATTAGAGGATTTTGATATTTAAAATATTTAGCAATGAATACAGCACTTTGTGAAGGCTCTTGTTCCCACCAGTCATCATGTACAGAGGATTCAGAGAACAGGACCATTTATCAATCCAAAGGGATGTGTTTCAATGCTTTAACCACCAGGATAGTCTTACCTGTACAGATCAGCTGAATACCAGCCTCATCTATAACTGCAAACAGCAGGTGATGAAACCACAAAGATGATCAGTTTATAAACTTTCCATAATCAGAGTTAGGAATGGGTGAAATAAAGGAAATACCGCATACTCTTTATTCCTTCATATTGCTAAAGCAGGTTGAGACATCATGTTGGTTACAAGTTAAATGGAACTCCACATTCCTTTCATAATCAGAAGAATAAAACATTTCAATCCCCTAAAGGATACACTGATGTTATAAACGGACACATTGAAATTTCAAAATCACAACTCCCATTGGCTATATCAAAAATCACTACGCACATAGCAATGCTGAGATCTTGAGAGATTTTGCCATCTGATATTTCAGAGAAGGAAGCAGCTGGAAGAGTCATTAATAGCTGTGGGAAAAACTGAAATCACATTTATAAAAGCTAAGAATAACTAACATTTTAGAAAGATAGGCACTATTCAGAGAATCACAAAAGAAATTGATTGAGGGGTTTAAGGCATTTAGAACATTCTTTCATAGGTAGTTGGTTGAGTGAAGAAAAGCCAGGATCCACGGTCAGGTAAGACAAAGGCACTGGACATGATCAGAGCAAGTTTTCCATGTTAAGATCAGATGTCAAGCACGGGTCTACTTGCGGCCCTGAGGGATTGGAGGGAGGGTGGGTTTCGTATTGGAACCTGGGCGACTGATGAGTGTGATTGTGTGTCTTCTGTGTTGGAAGGATCCTTTGTCACATGGAAATGACTGTTTATCTAGTGCTGTAAAACATTAAGAAAAAGAAAGATATAGTACATATAGTTAATCCCTTGGTACAGTAAACAAAGAAAATAAGCATAAATAAGAATAATCCTTAGAATTCATTCATAACAAACTATAAGGAATAAATGACATCCAAACAAGAAAAACAGGGGATGAGGTTCAGACTGTATCATGTGCGTAGTTGGACAAACCTCAGGTTGTGTAGACTTGCCCAGTGACTGGAAGGCTGCTACAGCCAGCAATTCCTATGCTACCCTGCTATGCTGCTCGTACCGTCTGTAACGATGCCCTGCACCATACTCCTTTTCAGTTGTACATAAGCACACTTAGTCCAGACGCACACACACACCCTGAAGTCCTTCCTAGAGAAACCTTATCTAGTGCCCTTTAAAGTTGGTTGTTCACCAAGGATGAAGATACCAAAGATGAACCATGGAGCTAGGTTCCTGCAGGGACTGTGCGAAGCAGGAAGAGTTTGGAAGACAGTGACTGAAGGTAGAAGCATGTGGCCACAGAGGAAGCTGAATTCTCAGTGGGGAGAAAGTAGTGTAGGAGGGATTGAGAGAGGGAGACAGAGGATTCTACAGGGAGTGAGAAGAATGGAGCGACCTATAACACAAGATCAGGAAGACTCAACTCACTGGGCAAACCAAAGCAATCCAGAATGTTGAAGGCAAAATGGATCTTTTAAGGGTACATTTAGAGCAAGAATGGCGCACTCCTTAAGAAGATGATGTTGTGTTACAGAGGACAGAAAAAGAAAAAAAAATTCCTCCTTGTTTTCTTCTTCTTCTTTGTTTTTTTCCGCTATGGAAATATTTTAAAGCTGGAAAAGGTAACAAAAACATCTTAAGAGAATAAGGGCCCTGAAGAGGAAAGAAGACAGTAGAAGAGTGGGCCTCATACCCAGTAAGTTACCTCCCAGGGCGCTGAAGTAACTTACAGAGGTGGTGTTAGAGTTTCTGGTCTTTGGGAATTCATCACAATGAGGAAAGTACTAGAAGCAAATACTCTTGCCATTTAAAAAATGGAAATAAAGATCTATAAACCAATACAACTGATTTTAGACCTTAGCAAATTTGAGCTTATTAAAGAAATGGTTTGTGCATTTCGAAAATAATGTAGTGTGTGATAAGTGTTGGGCGAGATTTACAAAGAGAAATCATTTTGAATTAATCGAATTTCCCTTTTAGTAAGGCAGGGGTCAACAAACTATGGCCCACAGGCCAAATCTGCTCTGCTGCCTGTTTTAGTAAATAAAGTTTAATGGAACCCAATCCATGCCCCTTTCTTTACGTATTGTCTGTGGCTGCACTTGCACTGCAGTAGTGGAGCAAAAAAAGTCTATGTAGACCACAAAGCCAAAAGCATTTATTGTCTGGCCCTTTATAAAAAGTTTGTTGAGCTCTGAGTTAGAAATGCCACTGATACAATGCAAAGCACATATCACAGTTTTCTGGGAGAAGACACTAGAGATGGGAGTAGGGCTCACAAAGCAGGGAGACTGGCCCTAGAAGTCAGTCTCCACAGAGCTTCCACAGGATGCTGCTCTTGGCCAAGTCCTGGGTCCCAACGTTGACAGCAACTATGACAAGGGCATGGGTGGCATGCTTGCTGGCTTTACAGAAATCTCTAAGTAGTAAATATGGAAGAGGAATCAAGACCCAAAATGACCTAATCAACTTGGAAAACAAAATGATAAAAAGATGAAAATAAAAGTTGCATTTATGTGGAAAAAAAAATCAACTGCACGCATATTGCATGATTAAAACTTGGTTTAGCAGTTCATGTGAAAAAAGACATGAGGGTTTAACTGACCCAGAGCCAGTAGTGGGACGTGATTTCTAAGAAAATCACCACAGGAAGATGTTGGCAAGATGGCCGACCCGGAAGCTCCAGGCCCTTGTTCCCCCAGGGACACATTCAATCAACAACTAGAAACTAGCGAAAATAACGTTATAGGAGCCCCCAAAATCAGTCAATGACCTACAGCAACCAAGTGAGCGCCCCAGTCAGGAAAAAGCCACACTGAAGAGGGTAGGAGAGCTCATGACTGACCTCTGCCCCACCCTCTCCCCAGTGGGTTGAGGCACAGCTTGGGGGAAGAGAGGGCTGGGTTCCAGGGCCCTCCTGTGAACCAGAGAGAGTAAGGTTCTAACCTGAGTTGGGGCAGTCTCTTTGGTCTCTGTGTCACCTAACTCAGAGCCCAGAGGGCTAAAAGTGCCACTGCTGGGGTCTCTGGCTAGAGGAAGCCACAGGAAGCTGGGGGCAGGGTTCTTGAAAACCACAAGGGGGCGCAGACCCAAAGGGCCTGGGACAAGAGAGTCCTAACTGAGGAATACAGTAGGGGCCCCAAGAAGCAGCAGGAGTAAGTCACTTAAGGAAATTAATGCATTCATTTAAAAGCATTTGTGTATACTGGGGAATTGGAAAACAGCACGCATACAGGCCCAGGGAAAGGCCACGCCCAGAAAAGGACTGAAAAGCCCTTGAGCCCTCCCACTGGGCCGACCCTGGGCTCAGAGCACGTCCTGCTAATTAGGGAAGGTCTGCCCCTAAACAGAACCAGTCTAGACTTGGAGAGGCAGCTGCTTTTTCAAATGCCCAATTTTCAACAAAAGCTCACAAGACACATAAAGAAACTGGAAAAAATGGCCCATTCAAATAAAATAAACCTCCAAAAACCTGCAGAAAATAACCACAGTCTTCTAAGTGTATAAACATATGCAATCATAATACCTAGCAGGTATCTAGCACTTTACTTCTTACTTACACCACACCCCAGCGTGCTGGTCCTATAGTATTATATTATGTATAACATTATAATACATACATATTACAGTAATGTACAGTAATACAGGATATTGCTGTATTATTGTGGAACAGATATTATTATCCCCAAGGCTCAGACATTAACAGATTTTCGCAACACTGTGCAGCTAGGCAACAGCAGAAATGGAACCAGAAGCTGGGTCTTCTGATTCCTAAGACAATGTTCTTTCCACATACCCTCCCCACAGGTAACAGCCCAGTTTTGGTCTGGCCAGACTACGTTGGAATGTAGCTTTCAACCCTATGCATCCCATTTAAGGAAGGACACAGGCAGAGGAGAGAAAATGAGACGGGAAAGGTCTGGGAACACTGTCCCAAGGGAAGCCAGAACCATGATGGGCCCTGGGGACATGTTTGGTCCAGAGCGCTTGTGTTCCCTCAGGCTCTGAAGTGGCAGGTCACAGCCTTTAAAGGGGTCCTAGAACACTTGCCACATCCTGTGAGATGACATAATATATCCACTTCTGAGTACTTGGGATTATTTCCTGAAAATCTGGTCTTGGGACTAGTAAAAAATTAATCAACAGAAACCGCAATTAAATGGAATTGGGAGACCAGAAGGCGGGCGCTCTCACACTCTGTGACCATAGCAGAGCCCAACAGGAGGAATTAAGACTCCTCTTCTTTCCTGGCAAGGACTCAGCCAATGAAAAGCCATGGCCTCTTTGTTTACTAAAGCTTTCCCAACCCCTTTCCCTCATATAAAAAGCTTTCTCCTCTTGCCCTGTGGAGACTTGCACGTGGCTCGCCATGGTTGCAGACCCCAAATGCAATCCTGAATAAACCCATCTTTGCTGGAGAAATGTCTGACAGTCTATTTGTTCCAGGCCAACAGATTCTAATTCTTATTGTTTGTGTCCTCCCTTATGAGTAAAATCCTTGAAAAGACCCTGTCTCAGTCAGCTGTCCTGAATACAACTACCCCTAAGGAGGGAGTCCACTTTTGAAATGGTTACAAGATGCCTGTTTTAGGAACAACCTTCTGGAGGTGCATCTGCTATATTCTCTTGTCCCTGGCAACCCAACAAGCCTATATTCTCTTTCTGGGTCCTCTGGTCACCTGAGCAAGCAGGGAATCCTCACGTCATCTTCTGGGTCAGGCAGACTCCCTGCTCCCCTCAATCTCAGGATACAAATGGTGGCTCCTCGTAGCCTCCAGGTCTTAGCAAATCCCCCCTAATTTATTCAGTCTTCTCTCAGTTGCTAGCAGAACCGCTTGCTGGGTTACTGTTTCCCTGTCTCATTTTCACCTCTAACACCTCTATGTAATGCCTGTTACATACTCAATGTGATTTATGAACATTGCCAGAGACAAAAATGCAATGGCCACTCTGTCTGTGCCTAGAGATGTGCATTCACAAGTGTGCTGGGGAGCAAGGTGCAAAAAGGAGGTGAAGCAGAGAAGCTGGGCCGGATCCTTCAAACCTAAAACCATCAGGATTCTGTGAGACCCCCGGAGCAGGAGATCAGCCAGCAATATGAAACCTTCCCTGCTTTTCTTCACCTTCCCTGAATGGAGTCCAAGTTGCTTAATTCCCCTACAGGGAGCATGTGCCCCTCGCCCCAGAAGACCCCTGCAGGGAGTGTGGTCAGGTGGGTGGAGCAGCTGCATCCACTCTTTGTAGCTAAGTAACTTTGGGCACATTCCAGACCTTTTTGAACTTTGTTTCTCATCTATTACACTAGGGGGTAAATAATCCACCCTGCCTCAAAGGAGAGATTCTGACTTAAAACACTCACTTAATTAAAAAAAATCAGAAAGACAGTGGGAAATATATATAATTGCAATATTAATATTTATATAAAAACCATATGTAAATGACTCCTACCTTTTAGGGCCTGATCCTGAGTATCACTTGTTACTGATCTTGAGTGTGAATAAATACTGTCCTCTGGAGGCCGGAAAGGCAGATCTTTGGACCATGAACAAGGCTGAAATAGTACAGAATGTTTCATGGTACCATTGGAGTCCTTGTCACTGAAAAATGAGCAAAGAATGATATCTTTGAGATGTAAAGCCACCACTGGCCGTATGTTCATAGGGTTACCTTTGTCAAGTCATTTCAGTAGTTTGCAAACACATCTCCATTGAGCTAAAGTTTTCAATGATACATAGGCAACCAGACCTAGCAGTTAACATATTAAGTACTGTACATACTAGCATAAACTTCTCGTCCACTGTGCGAAGCATCACTGAATACTCACTGAGAGCAAAGCATCGTGATAAGTGCTGGAGTATAAAACAAGATGAGTCAGGCACAGGACTTTAGAATCAAGCACAATTTATATACGGCGGTTCCTGCTATTTCAAGGACACAGAAAATGAAAGCGTGTTAGGGGGCTTGATCTGGACCACACGCTGGGCATACCGAATGCTAGTTCTTTGTTCCCTGTCTTAGGACAAGGTTGGGATGTGACCTGGGTGCCTGAAGTCTCTGTGTCTGGGCCAGTGAGCCTCCTACCAGCAGGTTGCTCTCCTTTGGGACCAGCCTGTTTCCTGGTTTCCTCTGGGGGAGGCAGCTTCACCGCGGGGGAGCTCATTCTGCAGAGCACTGTGAACAGGTGAGCTTTGTTCATGGCAAAAACATTGTTTCTTGTATTTATTCAATAGCTTTTCTCCTGTCTTTTGTGAACTACTTACGTCTTTTCTTCATTTATCTTCTGAGAATTTTAGTGGCTTTCATATCAGTTTGTGTGAATATATATATATGTTTTATATATTACATATTGAATTGAATATATATTATATTGAATTATATATTACAAATTAAATATATAATATTGAATGTTATAATATATGAATATGTTATAGCATGTTCATAATACATATTATATATTCATAATTAGAAATACTTCATATTATGAATATATAAATTATATTTAATTCATTATAGAATATATTAATGATATAGTCATAATGTATATCATATAAATGAATATAATATATATTACAAATATATATTATGAATATTATATTCAATATATTCTACATGTTGTTACACATACTGTATATCACATATATTATATATTATTAATATGTATTTTATATAGATTGCTATTTTCCTTTTTGTTTTGAACCTAGAGAAATTTAAAATGTTTATATAATCGAAATATATTCATCTTTTCTTCTGTAATTTTTCTCATCTCTTCAAAAACATTTCATTAGCACTTTTATCAGCCTACTAAACATATACAGTTAAAACTGAGTCATATTATATAGAAGGGCTGATAATAGAAAGTAACAGTCACCCCAATTGCATTCTCCCCAAAGCCAACCATTCTTAACTTTGTTTTCAGACATTCTGCCAATAATCTTTTTACTTCTAAATAATGTCACTGACTTTTATTGACTTATCAGTTCTAAACATATCTTTGATAGATAGAGATTTCTGCTATGATCAGAAAGGATTTAGCTCACTTAATAACACTCCTCCCATTTTTTCTCCCCACAAACTGTTCTATCACTATTCTAAGTTCCTCCATCAGTCAGATCTACCTCTTCATGTACCGTATTTTAAATCCTCATTTCTTGTTCCATCAACCACAAATGAAAAATAATTGACTTTCCACCTCCACCTCCTAACCTTTGTCATTAGAACTTTTCACTGTCAAAGTTGATTGTATTAAGTTTTGTATTCACACTTATGTCTCTTCATGATTTAGCCAAGGGTTGATTAACAATGTTGAAAATCAATACATAACTGTTTACTACAGAGCCTCGTAGTTGGCTGTGATTACGTTTTCTTCTCTGTACTTTCTATGTAATGATTCCTATCTCAGCACTGAAGTACGTTTCTAGGATCAAGCTCAACTTAAGCTCATATCTGGCAGTAGCAGAGGCTGATGCAAACTGGATCTATTCAAGATGAAGCCTGTCATCTATATGAGGATATCTAAATGAGTCCATATCTACCAGGATGATGTTATGACTGTAACAGAGATGGAAAGGGTAGAAGCAAGTCTTGATGGGGTGTCCCCAGAAGGTCATGGCTCTATCACTGGAAACACAGTCCAATTAGCTGCCTGGGCCTGTCCTTGACCCAGGATGAAATATAGTGGGTGGTCTAGGCATACTAAGGGAACACTTCCAATGTGTTTGAATGCCAAGCAGAGGCTGCAGCCCTTGGGTGGTAGTTTGAGTCTGGAATCCAGAACCAGCTCTCCTGGAAAGCTCCCATACTGAGCATGGTCACTGTCCTCTGGCTGGATCTAAGCTTCCTATCAACTACAGCCAGGGCTGGATGGCATCAAAATTCCCAGGAAGAGATTGTCCAGAATGGAGTAATCTTCCTGTGCCTATGGGTTCTGCTTAGAAGTTCTGGCTACTTGTTATCAACTAGAGAAGTCTAATGGCTTTCTTGAAGGCAAGAGTCTTTTTTACTAGGTTGGGCAGAGTTTTGGAGTCTTCTTGTTGATAGACAACACCTTTTGGAAACCCCTCATAGAATGCTAGCCCCTTTGGGTAGAGCATTCATGCTCCTAGAAGACCTTGTTTCCTAATCTCTTGCTCCCACATAAGGTAAGTGAGCTTTTCCAAGAAGCACTTCCTAAAGAAGTATATACCCTGAGACCAATACTGCCAATATCTGGATTTCCCAGTCACTGACAACTCTTCCTCTACCCTTTGCAGTGGAAAGTGTCACTATTAACCAGTGCTTGGGATCTTCTCTCTAGAAGTATAACTAGACAGAGTCTTTTCCCCTGAATACAGCCTTAGACGCACTTCCCTTTTATGGGCTAGATCTTTCATTCCAAACTATAGAAGCATAAAGATGTTCTTTTTCATTTTAGTAAAAAAAATAATAATAACCCATAGATTTCACAGCCAGATCTCTAAAGTGATATAAATAGAGCATGTTGAAGGGAATTAGAAGGAAAATGGCATGAAAATGTCACTGGATTGTTGATACCTATTGTATTTGTTTGCTAGGGTTGCCATAACCAAGTACTGTGGACTGAGTGGTTTAAAGTCACTGTCTCATGGTTCAGGAGTCTAAAAGCCCAAGATCAGTATGTCAGCAGGGTTGGTTCTTTCTGAGGGCTGTGAGGGAGTATCTGCTCCAGGCCTCTCCACTAGCTTTGAAGGTTTACTGCCCATCTTTGGTATTCCTCGGCTTTTGTATCACCCCAAGCTCTCCCTCTGTGTGTGTCTATTTCCAAATTTCCCTTTTTTATGTAAACACCAATTATATTTGAATAGAGGTTCACCCTTCCCCAGGACAACCTCATCTTAACTAAATTCATCTGCAATGACTGGACTCCCCAATAAGGTCACATACTGAGGTTCTGGAGTTGGGACTCCAACATATACATGTGGTGAGGGAGACACAATTCAACCCAAAACATATTCATTTTGGTCTTATTTTCGGAAAAGAATACCTCTTCATTTAAAACACACACCAAAAAAGGGATCAAAGAGCAAGTTCTGCCTTTCAACAATTGCTTTTCCTCTGTATCATAGGATGTAGTAAATGAAAATGCTTCAACAGTCAGAAGTCAAGAAGTGGTGGGGTTGAAACACACATGTGTTACCACATGGGAAGCTGGCAGACCTGAGTGACAGATCTGACCCACCCTTTCCACTGTGGGAACAGATGATATATAAACCCATCGCAGTCTATTAAGCATTATTATTATTATTATTTTTTCTTCTCCTATGGACTGAATGTTTGTGTCTCTCCCCACCCCTTCGCAAATGTGTATGTTGAAATCCTAACCCTCAGTGTGATAACAGAAGGGGGTGAGGCCTTTGGTAGGTAATTAGGTCAGGAGGTGAAGCCCTCATGAAAGGGATTAGTGCCCTTACAAGAAAAGACAAGGGACAGCTTGCTTCCTCTCGCTGTTTTCCACCATGTGAGGACACAGCAAGAAGACAGCCATCTGCAAACCCGGAAGAGGAGCCTCACCAGAACCTGCCCACGCTGGCCCCGTGATCTCAGACTTCTCAGCCTCCAGAACTGTGAGAAATAATTGTCTATTGGTTAAGCCACTCAGCCTACAGTAATTTGTTACAGCAACCCAAACTAAGACATCCTCTCTCCCATCATGCTACCCAACTCTACTCAAAGTTCAGAGCATCAGTAAATCCTCAGAGATCTACAGTTTCAACATTGTCACAGGAAGTTAATTAACTGACTATAATCTGGAGTCTCTAGTTTCTGGTAAGGTGGACAGACTCGGGTGGACCATTTAGAGGGGCCTGTTATTTTCCATCATCAAATTTATGACAGGAAATCCAAAGTGTTACAATAAAACTCAGAAATAAAGGAAGGCATTACTGATTTTTTAAATTGTCCTATTCATTATGACACATCACCCTCATAAAATAGCCCTTCACTGTGGCAGACTTTTAAAATAACATTTTAAAATGATATTAATACTTAAAAATCATAAAATGCTCATTGTTGAAAATATGGAAAAGAACAAGGAAAATTAAAGTTGCCCATAATCCCATCACCAGAAGATAATAATTGATAATATTTTGGTGTGTTTCTTTTTAGTGTTTTCTTTTCTATACATATACATGAATATTTTTAAACCTGCATTATGCTGGATATACATTTGCATCTGACTTATAGCACGTCATTTATATTATAAGCATTAATTTGTATTTAACTCAACAATTTATCTAAAGTTTGTTTTAATCTATAGAGTGACATGAGATACTTAATTGTATCTAGAGCACCAGTGTTTCCCATTTATTGAATATTTCATCAAATTCTCATGGATTTTTAATAGCTTTTTTTTAGGATATAAAAATAAAACATACATATTCCATGCAGATGACTTAGAAGTTACAGAAAAAAGATAAAAAATAAAAAAATTCTAGAGAATACCCACTGCTAATATTTTGGTGTGCTTCGTTCCAATCACATCTCTTGTCTATTACGTTGCCATGCATTCAGAGAGACCAAACCCACAGACCCCTTCTGAAGAGTTTTCTACCTGCCTCTCTGTCACTGCTCTGGACACAGATGACTGGATAAAGGGTGGGTACTTGACCTAAGGGCAACCAATCTATAGACCAGCCTGTTAACTACAAGAGCTCTCCCCAAGAGTGATACCCATACTAGATGGTGATTGACCCAACCAGCCAGATCTTTGCTTGGGAAGTTTGGGATCAAGACCTACAGAAAGTCAGTGGTAGTGGCAGGCACAGCTGAAGCAGAAACAGAATGTAGTGGCACGCCCACAAATGCCAAGCTCTCAAATCAGTGGCGGGGGTTCTGCTGTGGTCTGTACGAGGTTATCAGCTTACACAGATTCAGGTTTTGAATCACACGTCGGCATGTTAAGCATTGGAACCCAGGAAATAGCCTTTTATAAATTGGGCATCAGCTGGGAAGCATTCTGAAATACAGCACTGTACTAATCAAAGATGATGATTGCAAATTACAGATGCCAACTGTGTCTGGTTAATTTAAATATCAAAAAGGGAGTTACTGAAAAGCTACTGGGTAGTTTATACACTTAATAGAAAACTAGAGAACCATGTTTTAAAACTGGGCAGGAACACAGTAAGGTTGGTACATGCCAAGAACACACCCAAGTTGCGATGCAGGGAAAGACTGGTAGACATCGCTGCTTGCACTCCACAATGGATTCTTGACTCTTCTACCACTTGAATGATCTCTTAACTGCCCTGCATCATTGGTTGTGTCACTCTCTCAAGATTCAGAGTCCCAGAGAGAAGCTTCCTAGGTTCCAGTTAACTTAGGTTGAGGCCAGGTTAACCTAGAGGGCCAGGATCCACTCTGCTCAAATTCCATCGTGGGAGATGGGTCCTTGCTTCCCAGTTTTAGGACTTCTCTGAAGCTTAGGGAGGAGTGCCTTCTCTTAATTAACCAGAAGAAAATACTGATTCTATCCAACAAAACTCAACTCACCTCTTTTCAGGAGGTCCAAAGGGAGTTTTAAAATAATCTTCACAAAGCTCAAAACTTTTCTTTAGTTCTAAAGCTGCAAAATAATGTAGACTACAGATGGTGGGTGCTGGTACTAGACCCCTGAAATTAGAAATTTAAAAAAAAATTCAAAGAATTTTATAATGGTGCAAAGCAAATACACATGTAATACCTAAATACTGACTTTTACATCGCAAGTAAATGCAAGTGCCAATAAAATCTATTTGACATAATGTAACATATGCATTTATAAACGTTCATGTTAGAGCCAGTCTTAGAGTCTGGCATTACTGCATTCTAATTTGTAGATTAAGCAAATTTGTATTTTGGGGAATATTCCTTATCCATTAAGACATTAATAGAGGCAAATTACCTTCCTACTGATTTGTATGTATTCTGTTGTAAACCCTCATCCATTTGTTACATGAAGTCCAGCAATAGATCAACTGCTATAAAAATTGAAATAGATGTCTTCCAATTTTGTTTATGATCTAAGGCTTTAAAATACCAAAATAAAATATTTCTAAAAATTCTCATATTGTACTTTCAACCGAACTTTAGTATAAAATACCCTTTTTTCATCTATGCTTGCCTGTTTCCCCAGAGTGACTTGAGAGAATCATTAACTATTTTTAGAGAATAAATCCTACTGCTGTTCACCCTAGACTTGCTAAATAGAGGAGCTATGTGCAAAGTCGCCCGACTGCATATAAATGCATGCAAATTCAAGGTATCGTTCTGCCCTAGTATGACCCACTTGGAGCACGCATTTAAAATGGCTTTGTGTCTCTGTCCACAGTGTTTTAAAAGGCACGGTCACTGTGCTGGTCAGAGGTTGCACAGGCTCCAGCTTTAGCTGCTCGAGGGGACACCGCCCATTTCCTGCCACCACCTTTCCAACCCCTCAGTGGAACTTTGCATATTCCACACAGCCTGTCTTTTGAATCAGACTTATCAATGTGGGGGAATTTTTTTGATACATGACAGACAAGACAAAGCTGAATTTTATTTATATTGGTTAAAGATTTTGAACAGATAGCTTAAAATGACAGACAATAAAGGGGAGTAAAATTGAAAAGAACTTTTAAATGGCTTTTTTATTCCATTTCCTTGAATCACTGCATGTTAAAAAGCTCTTTAAAACACTATCATTAAGGTCTTGTCAGTGCTCTTAGTAACTTTCTGAAAACGGGGACTTGACTTTATTGCTCATATTTTCCAAAAGGTCACACAGAAAAGAGAATTCAGAACACTGAAGCCTATGACATTAATGAGAAAATAAAATGCGAACATTTCATAAACATCTTGGTTATTCATTTTGAGTACATCTTAAAGCCTAAATGTGCCTTTTCACATGTAATAATTAATAGTACAATAATTATTACAGCCGCTAATATCTAGGAAGCCTTTACTATGCATCAGGGACAAAGAGAAACATTTCACATTAAGGACTAAGAATTCATGGATTAATAAAGATACAATGGTCTCCATCCTCATGGAATTTAAAGTTTAATATGGAAAGAAGACATTAAACAAATGATCCCACAAATCATCAATCACTATTGTTTTGAGATTCATGAGGGACAAGAACAGGCTATTGGACAGGATATAATTAACCTTCAGTCATCAAAGCCTTGGTGAAGGCCAATGCTGATATTCAAACACCACCAGAAATATCAGTCTTTGCAGGCTTCAGAGACTGCAAAAAATAATCAGTTTCTAATAACTATTAGCATATTGTGCCTTTAAAAATATATATAAATGAAAGGGAAATACAACTTCTAGAACTAGGTTTATTACTGAATCACTGGGTCCATTTTAGCACAAAGGTCCCCGTTTATGTTGATGATTTAGGATTCATTTAGTATATCTGGATACTAGAAAATCGATCTAAAGATGCCCAGGTATAAATAAATGTGAGAAATCGCTACCTTTGAAATAGAAGTGTATGACGAGGCGGTGTCTTTCCCATTAGAGCCTGCCGGGCTACCTCATACTGTCTCACCACAGACTCTCTTTCCTAGGCAAGAAATAGGATCTAAAATTATATTGATGTTCAAAAATGTCAGATGATTAAAACAGCTATAGTCATTCTCTTCTTGCTAGAGATTGCCAAATGTGTGGAAAGGAAAAGGGGAAAAGAAATGGGCCTAAAATAGAATCAATATTTGTTCAGTGGAAAGAAAGAACAATTTATTAATAAAATGAAAAATATTTTATGAAGACTGCAATTTAGTATGTAAACTTCATTTGACATCTAAATAATACTATGACAATTTTTAGTTACATTTTAAAAATCTTTCTAATGAGATGATCTCCCAAGGATATAGATTATTATTGTCTTTTTAGTTTTACCAGATCTCAGCACATATATAGTAACTAACTGGTTGGCTATATCCACCCATGTTAGGTATGATCCTGAAACAGGACAGATTGGGAGGTCTTTCTTTGGTATTTCACCAACATCCCATCACCATCACTAAGTACTTGGTAAGTATTGGATGATGGAGATACAAAGATATAAAAAAAATAGTCTCTACATGCAAAAGGTTTATAACCTGGTGCCAAAAGACATCTAAAAAGACGGGGAGGAAAAACAGACTGTATTATACATACACATGCTGTTGAGAAACTCTAGGTCAAGCTTTTGAAACTGTTCCTCAGACAAATGGCATGAGGGCTGACAAGGGGACTCACTGAACACAGCCTCTCAGGTGGATATGTGATTGCCAAGACCACTTTATGGTTCCCCTGACCATTAGCTCTGCAGTTTGGTGTAAGCACAATGAGGAGGAAGTATCTGCTGGTGGGAGGGAGGGGATTATAATGGTACAAGAAAGGAATAAACAAACTCTACTTAAATTTCATCATTTAAAAACTATGTTTAAATAGCTCCATAAATACATCTAAATTGTTTCATGTTACCATAAAATGACTATACATCAGCCAAATCTGCAGTCTTACTCTCATGTTGATTTGTTATTATTCTTCCTTGTCACTTTATACTAGTATATACATTTTCTATCATGATTTTACTATATACCATCCTTATTTTTTTCCTATCTTGATCCTTGATTTAAATTATATTGTGACTGGGAAGATGACAAGGGTAGTGGAAGCACAGTTTTTGGACTTCCCAGAATTTCCACATAAAAATAGATATAGCAACTAAATTGCAAAATAGAAACATATGAAAACATTTACAAGAAAACCAGGTAAGCCAGGTGACAAGCTCTCCTCAACCTCCCCAACACAGGTGATAACAGCCACAATACCTGCATGGATCAGCGTCCACGCAAGAGGAAGCCGAAGGAAGCAACAGGGCGACTCAAAGACCTGAGAACAGAAGAAGCTCAAAATAGCTCAGAAGTAGTCACTGGAAAGCAAAGCAGGACAATCTGGGAACCTAGCTGAAACCTAGGAGGGGCTGTTCCCATTCTCATAGTGGCTAAGAACAAGGGGTCCATGGTAAGTTCTGAAGGAGCTGAATCAACAATGAATTCTTGAAACTAATCCACTATAGGGCTCCCTTCTAAGAGAAGGTTCTACATTAAAAAAAAAAAAAAAAAAAGGAAGTAAGGACTAAAAATTCCTGGGGGGAGGGCAACAGAGCCAGGACATCTCAGGAAGGAAACTGCCATGCATTTAACACTATTTGAAAAACCATCTTCCTTCTAAAAGTTTGAGAAAACAAATTTCACATAAAAATGAGAAATTTTCTAGTCAAATCCCATACAAAGTTATTATAAGAAGTAAGAGGAAAAGGGGTAGAATAATACTTCTATACACAATGAAAGGAAAACAGATAAAATCCATAACCTACTATTTCAAAATAAACTAAAAGACACTAAGAAAATGACACAAAACATTAAGGAATAAATTACAATTTTACAAACTCACAAATGAGGTGACAGAACTCAGGAAAGAATTAAAATTTAAGAAAAAACTCACTTAGGAAGTGAAAACTAAAATAGAAGGAATACAAGAGTGAATATACACAACAAATAATAATAAGAGAAATAGAAAATATATAAATTAAAAAATGTAACTCAAAAAGAAGTCAAGAAAGAGGTAAAACGATTGAAGAGGTGACAAACATTTAAGATAGACAAAGAAGATCCAACATATCAACATTAAGAGCTCTTGATAAAGTAAACCAAAACAAATAGACAGGATAGATGATAAAAACTACAATTCAAGTGTAAAGTATAATAGACTGTTACCAACAGGCAAGAATGCAGGAAATATTTTCCCCATAGTGCTTTCTGTATCTAGTAGAGAGTAAGCTTAGGCAATAAAACAACTAGACAGATACTGACCTAATGATGAATATTATGTATGAATATATTTGAAAACTAAGACAAAATGAGAGTTAAAAGGGAGAAAGTATATGACAATAAGTTCTGATAATACAGCTATAATATAATCAATAATGGGAGAAAACATTTGCAAAAAACTTTTTAAT